GTGAGGAGTTGTTTGGAAAAAGCCTTTGCGAGGTCGGGGGCTGCGGGGGGGGGCGGGGGGGCTGTGAGGAGAATAGAGAAGTTAGCAAAGAAAGGCAAAAGAAGAGAGAGCGAGAGCAGCAGCAGCAGCAGCGCGCTGTGCTGCAGCAGCGCGGCGCTGCTGCTGTGGACCCCCCAGAGGCCCGCGCCCAGCGCCAGCCCCAGCAGCAAAGTGTTTGCTGCTGCATGCAGCACTCGCCAGTTGAAGGCGCTGTTCAAAGCCAAGGGGTGAAAAGTAAAAGTGAGACTGAGGGCGAGGGCGGCGACAGTGGCGGCGACAGTCAAGAACCACGAGATGTACAGACACCGCAGCACCCGCAAAGCCTGCGCCTTTCCCTCCGCGTCGAAGTACTTCAAAAAAGAATATTTCGGTTCGCTGGCTTCCAGCAGAGAGCCGGAAGAAGTTTCTTGTTGCTCTTGCGCAGACATTGTGGCGGCTTGTTGCAAAAAAGGCCCTTCAAAAGGCTTTAGTTCGGCTTTTTTTGCTTCGAAATGCAAAATATAATTCAAAAAAAAGTTAATAAATCTCTTTTGCACGCAAACAGCGCCGCCGCAGCCCGCGGGCCAGACAGACAGCCACAGCTAGCCGCGGGAGAGGCTCTGCGGTGTACGCAAACCCGAGAACTCCATGACAAAAGAATCCCCACTTTTGAATTGAAATAATTCTTTTTTAAATATTTATTTCAAAATGCGTTTTTAGTCTTTTGCTTCGAGGCAGATCAGCCTCAACTGCGGGCTTTTCTGCAGAAACCCAACAGCCAGACACGGTCGGTGCCGCGGCCTTCGGATTTTTTGCGTTTTGTAGATTCTTCTTGAAATATTAATGCCACTCTAAACTATAAGCTGGAAAATATTGTTTTAAATATTTAAAATAAAATGAAAAGGTCGGTTTTTAATTGAATTCGAATTTCAGAACATTTCCAAGCAGTCACCCGGCCAGCGAGCAAAGGAGTGACCACCGGACCTTGGGCTTGAGAACAAACACTTGCGGCCAACCTGCAAACGAAATTTAATTTAAAATCCAATAAAGCAGTTTAAAAATACAAAATGAATTTAATTTAATTGTTAATTAAACTCTGAAACTGGGACAGATCTCCCGGGCACCAGGCCACTCGCTGGGACCAGGCTGCTTTCTTTTTTTTGCAGATGATATTAAAACAGCTTTGAGCTTTTCTTGAAAATTAAAAACTTTTAATGGAATTAAATTCTATTTCAAATATTTAATTCGCAAGAAAAGCTCAAAGTTTTATTAATATAAATAGAACTAAACGTGGCTGGCCCCCGTGTACAAGGGCGCCGGGGTGTCTCGACACTCTTTGCACCTCTTTTGCAAACTTTTTGTGCATTTTATTAACTTCAAATTTTACTTCAAATTCTGCACTCTTATTTAACATTTGTTGGTTTCTGCCTCAGCCATCACTCAGTTGGAGTTGTTTTATATTTTCTTGCTCGCAAATACATATTTCTTTGTATATTCACTTCTAACTATTAAATGCCGCACTGATATATTTGAATATATTCAAAAATTAATTAAATATATTTATACGAGTAAATGCATTTAAGTAAATATAAGTATAATTATTTAAATATATGCATTTAACTGAAACATTAAACCCATCATAGCAGCTGTGGAATAACAACTGTAGACTGGCTAGGCTTTTTGTATAGAAGCTCGAGGCTTTGGGAAAGGTAGCTAAATAAGGCATTTTCTTGAGAAAAGAAAATATAAAAATAAATTAAAATCAAAAGAAAATAAACTGCTTAGAAACGAATGCCTTTTGCCCCCTGGGCCGTCTCTGAAATGCAGCAGCGGCTCCCCAGAAGGCATGGCAGAGCATGCACTACAGCAGCAGAAGCAGCAGCAGCAGAAGCAGCAGCAGCAGAAGCAGCAGCAGCAGCAGCAGCAGCAGAAGCAGTGAGCCCCTGTCGCTTTGTCTAGAGACAAATTGAAGCCCTCTTTAGACCTTGCGGCAGCTGCGCAACAGCAGCAGCAGCAGCAGCAGCAGCAGCTGCTGCTGCTGCTGCAGCTGCTGCAGCAGCAGCAGCGCGGGGGGCAGAGTAGCTTAACTAGCGTTAATGGGCTTAATTGAAAAAACCAGCAGCAAAGCAAGTGGGCCTTGTTGAATGACAGACCTTTAAAGTTGTAAACAAAACAGTTTGAATTAATTTTAATTAATTTAGTTTTTAATTTATGAGTTAGTGAGAAAATAAATGTGTAATTATTTATTTGGACTTGCAGCGGCTGCGCTAACTGGCTGCTGAGACAGCCTGCAGCATCAACTTGTGAATTAATTCTTGATTTCTGTCTGAGAAAAAAATAAAAGTGAAGTTGAATTAAAAGTAAATTAATTAATTTTTGTATATTACTTTTTCGCCGCAAGAATGTGGTATATTCACATGGCTAAAAGCCACACAAGCAGCAATAATAGGGTCTCGCAGGGGCCCCTAGCGGCCCCCAGGGGCCCCCAGGGGCCCCCAGGGGCCCCCGGTACATAGCCTTGGGGGGTGTTCCGGGGGGCCCCCCAAAAGGCTAAGTACCTTTTACTTGAGCCAGTACAAGTTATTCACAGACTGAGCCGTTTAAATGTACCAAAAGGGGCCCCTGGCAGCGGGTAGTTCCCCAGGGGTTTCTACGGGCCCCTAGGGGCCCCTAGTACCCTTCATGGGGCTTTGAAAGGGCCCCCGGAGCCCCACAGAAATCACTGTGACTGCACCGAAAGGGGCCTGGGGGGCCCCCTGGCAATTGACAGTCAAGGAGGGCCTCCATGGCTGCTCGCAGCAGGTAAAATTGGGGTTTTAAGTGCATTCCGTGTAGAGTGGGAAATTCAAATTCAGATTGCAGAAGTTGGAGTGGCACTTCTGGGAAGTTTTAAGGAAATTAAAGACTCCCCGAATTGTGTTTGACAATTATTTCTCTTTTATAGATGCAAATTGTGCAAAATGTACTTCTGCAGGATCTAAATAAAGTCAACGGCGCAGCCTCGGCGCAGCAACTGATGCTGGGGGCTTGCAGGAGCAACTGCAGTGCCCAAATCCACAAAACAATTTTTCCAAAAGTTAAAAAAATTAAATATTACAAATAAATTGAATTGAAGGGGGAAGAAGGGATAAGTGGAGGTGAACTCAAGCGCACATGGAGCCGCGTCGGCATTTGTGCCACTGGAGAAATTCAACTTCGTCCGCAGCGCATGTTTGGGCTTATTTGGTGAGTTCTAATTCTCATTACCTTTTCTTGAGCCCCAAAATGCAATATTTTATTTATGGATTCCATATAAATAGATACATATTCTAAAATTGGGGATTAAGAGGAGGCTGGCGCGCCTCCGATAGTCTACTGCCTCGTTGGGGGATACGCAAGGCTATACAGCACACATTGAATGCCGAAAATAAAAGAAAATCGAAATATTTGAGAATAATGAATTCGGTTTGAGTCGGAAATAAGTGGAAATGCATTAAAAGGGTCTTGCGATTTGGTTCACGTTGGTTCCGTTTGGCCGCGTCGATGCAACTCACCTCCCCGCAGAAGGGCTCCATTCCGTCACGGTTTCCTTGCCTTCTTCGACAAAGAAAACGATCAAAAAACTGATAAATTTAATTTAAATTTCACTTTCTGCTTGTTTTCCACGGAGAAGGGGCTTTTGGGGGGGTTGTCTTCGGCCTTCGGAAGCTCATCCTTCACGTTTACGACGGTGCACATGACCAGTCATTTTTACGAGGTCCATAGCTCTTGACGGCATTTCCCGCTTTTTTTCCCGGGCTTTTGCATTTTGTTGCAATTTGAATATTCAATTACTGCATTTCAGTTCCCGGATCTGGGCTCCAGCCTGCGTCTCAGCCGCTGGTTGAAACCCTAGGTTTCCGCCCACAGCAGCTTGAGGCTTCTGCTCGGCAGATCCCTCACTTCCCCTCGTTGCTGCTGCGCTCCTGTCACCTCTAAGCGCAGCCCCACGACCCCGCAGGGGGCCCCTAGGCGCCAGCGTGTCTAAAGAGCAGCCCCAGCAGCAGCAGCAGCAGCAGCAGCAGCAGCAGCAGCAGCAGCAGCTGGAGGCCGGCCCGGCCGCTGCGCCCGGGACAGCGGCAGCCGGGACTCGGGAGCGGCGAGCCGATGAGAACCCCGGGGCCCCGCCCCGGTGTTGGCGGCGCTGTGAACGTGGACGGAGTGCCCCACTTTCCGGAGCCGCTGGCCCCCGAAGAGGTGCCTGCGGCGATCGCCGCAGCAGAAAGCCTCCCGCAGCCCTGGTGGGCTTTCTGGCGAAGACCCACGCGCATTCCCTACAGGCCGCAGGTGGTGGAGGTCTGGCAGCACGTGGCTTACGAGTACCACGTGTTGGGTCGCCGGCGCCCGCGGCCTGAGGGCTGAGGCTTCGCGCTGCGCTTTCCGCGGATTCCAAGTGGGAAAGCGAACTTTTTCTCCGCTTATTTTCCTAAATTCACAAAAATTCAACAACAAGGAGCTCCTCGCTGCAGATTTCCCCGCAAAACCTGCACGCCGCGGCTCCGCACGCCTGCATGCGCGACCATGCATGCTCCTGAAGCAACGCCTGCAGGGGGGCCCCAAGGGGGGCCCCCTGGTGCAACTTCAGGCGGCCCGGGGGGCCCCTCTGGCGGTGGACGCGCCTTTCCCCGCAACTTCGCTGGCAGCATCTTTCCTCACTTGGCAAACATCTCCAGGGTGGGAATCGCGTCTTTAATTGCCTTATCTGAAGTGAATATGTGATATTGTGCTGCTAAATTTCTCAAGATTTAAATAAAGTTCGAATTCAATTCATGTTTGTGCAAGTCGGCGGCAAATAGACAGCACACTTTTGGCTCTTTTACTCTCAGCAGCTTGATTCTAATCTGACAAGTTTCTTTGGAACACGAACTTGGCTTTGTTCTCTTTCTCTTTGTAGCACCTCTGCAAATTTCGTGTTGTCTTGCGCCCTCTAGCTTCCATTTTAATTGCTTGTGTTCCCGCTGCTGCTGTTCCTGCTGCTGCTGCTTTTCTTGCTGCTGCCGCTGCTGCTGCTGCAGCCTCCGGCAAAGTCTTATTCGTTCCGGAACGCGGATGTTCGGTTTTTTGGCGGAGTGAACGAGCAGGAGGAGAAGGAAGACAACTCGGAGAGCGACGAGGAGCAAAATGAAGTTCAAAATAAATGTTTGAGTCCGCTCAAGGAGTTTTGCTGCGCCGTTTTCCCCAACACCTACCCTTTCTTCTGGCTGCTGCTGCCCTTCGTCGTGTGTGGCGTTCTGGCTGCTGCCTCCTATGGCGACCAGTCAGACACCAGCCAAGAGGGGCTTCTTGTGTTCTCCACAGAAAACCATTTCCACCACAGCAGCAACACCCCGGAATCCCAAACAGTATTTGTCAGTGACAGCCGACTGCGCACAAATATTAGCTGCTGATTGCATGTATTTGATCCTTTTTTTCCTGATCTCATTAGCCAGCAAAGCGACACGACACTGCGTGGGCACTGCGGCGCCCGCCTCCGGCTCTAGTGAAGGAAATTTCGTCCCTTCGAAACTTACGTGCAGGGCTCAGGGTTCAGGGTTTAGGGCTTAGGGGTTAAGGGTTAGGGTTTGAGTCTTGCGTTTGTGGCTTCGAGGCTCAGGTGAAGCAAATGAGCACACGGGAACTGACCTTGCAAGGCGTCTGGGTTCTTGCTTGCATTTCCCTGGCGAACGCGGCTGCATGGCTCGGCTGCATGGTGTTCAGGTGAGAAGCACCAATCCCCGACTTGAAATGAGGGTTTTTTCTTTTTTGTTTTTCTTCCAACTGGCAGATTTACGGTGTCAGTGAGGGCTGCGTTCATATTTTTCGATTTCATGACTGGCGGCCCCGAGGCTGGAGCCAGATCCCCCAGTTTAGGGTTTAGGCTTTCCATTATCTGGGGCTGAGACAAGAGCCGTTGGCGGGCAAAGAATTCGAATAAGGGTTTATGGGAGATTCCCCAGGCAAATGCTAGTGTGTTCAGGGCCGTGGGCTTGACGCTGATTGTCAACATTGGATTGTGTCAAAACCAAAGCATTTCTTCTTTGCTCGCGACCGTGGACCCGGAGTTGGTTTACTTTCTCTGGAGTGTCGGAATGCACATGTTCTGGCAGAGGACAGTCAGGCAAGGTGACCTTTCTCATGCCTTCGCTTCAGAACTGAGGCCTCAGCTTAGTCCCACCAGCTTGGGCTCTAGAGTTCTTTACTGTGTTCTAGGTTGCCTGCAAAACATTGGCAAAGCTACTAGCCACAGGCTTCTGCTGCGAAGCCAAGACCCAAACTAGCCCCCTCAACCCTTCCGCGGGCTCAGTCTGCAGCCAGCCTGCAGCAGCACTCAGTCTCACTAGCTGGCCTCATCATTTTCCCAAAAGGCTGAATTTGAAAAGCTTTTGCTGCTGTTTCCCCGCGGGCCAGCGCCTCTTCGTCTGCAGCAAGGCTGCCGCTGGGTCGGGGGTGTTTGCCTGTTCAGGAAGGCTGTTTGGGGTGAAGGCCGTGGAAGACGGGAAGAGGGAGGCGGTGCTGCAGCTGTATGAAACCCCCTTGTTTGGTCCTTCTGTGTTCGTTTCGGCATCCATGGCGAAGTGCCACTATGTCCTTAGTCTTGTCGTCATCGTCCTCACTGCCAGGAGGCTGCTGCGAAGCATCATGGTTTTCTACTTCGAGCTCGGCTTCATGGCCAGCATGAGCGGACAGCTCGTCAAGTACCTCACCAAATACGCGGCGCTTAGAAAGCTCAACACCAAATGGTCGGCTACTGTTGCTGCTGCTACTGCTGCTACTGCTGCTGCAACTGCTGCTGCAACTGCTGCTGCTACTGCCACCGCCCCTGCTGCAGCCGCTGCACCTGCTGCGGCTGTGGCTTCAAGCCGCAATTGCCGGCTCCGCCGCGGCCTGGACGTCGAAGGAGGTGACAAACATTTTAATTTCGCGTAACTTTGCTACATGGTTTGGTCTGACCTTGTTTGATGAGTGTCAGTCTTATCGAGTGTCCCAGCTTCTCTTTTTGTGAATGCTGCTGCAGTTTAAATGCTTAACAGCTAGCTAAACAGTAAACCACAGCCTGAGTGTGTGCATGCGGCTGCATGTCCAGGGCTGCGTACCAACTGTGCAAGGAGACAGCCTCCCGAGATAGTGAGGCTGGCAGCCAGGAAGAAGACGAGGCCCCCGAGGCGGAGAGGGGCCCCCGTTTAGACGTGGAGGCCCTGAGAAGGGGCAGGAGCGTGGCTTCTGTTGCCTCTCGCTTTTCACGGCATCCTTCTCTTAGAGTGCCCACGCGGGCCCTTCCCTCTCTTGTCAGAGATGAACAGTGAGTGCGGGGCGTTTCTTTTCTTTTGTCTCTTGTGGCGTTCTTCTGTGCCCAGGTTTGCCGGGATGCCCCTCAGTAGGCGCGTGGTGCTGCTGCTCGCACTAGCAATATTTTATTTGCGCTGATTTTTTTGTTCTCGTTTGGTTGATTCGCTCTATTTTGCCTTTCCATCCGTCTTGTGCAGATTTCGCTGCTTTCGTTTCTGTCTTGCTTTCTCTGACTTTATCTCTTTTCAGCCTTCATCAGCAGCAAGCTGCGCATTACGCGTCACAATAGTCCTTTTTGTCCTTTTTGACCTCCTCTTTTGTTTCCGTTTTGGGGCGTGGTGAACGCATGCAGTTGCCTGCAGTCTCAATCTGCTGTTTCAGGGAATTGCCGCCGCCTCCTTCCTCCGCCCAAAGCCGTGAAGTACAAAGACAGAAGGCCAAGCAAGTTGGGGGCAGCTTTGTGAACAAGAGCATTCGCATTAATTATTTTCGCTTCCGGCCTCAAGAGAATAAAAACATACAAGTCAGAGAGCTCAGAGGACAGGGTTCGTCTCTCAGTTTATATCTCTTCCACTTGTTTTCCTTCGCTTCATTTCGCTCCATATCTCCTCGCTTTGGGTCTTTTCATTGTTACCACCCAAAGACCCCTACTCTCCGCTTAGTTGTTTTGCATGCCTCTCCATGACTGTGTAATTGCCCTTTCTTTTGTGTTTTTTCTCTGTCTTTGCCCCTCTGTCTGATTGGATTCATTGCGCATTTTGCATAGCCTTGGCCGTAGAGTGTGTTGGCGCGTACAGGCATTCCCAGTCAGCTGACCCGCTCTTCAATTGAGCGCTGCAAGCACAGCCGCGTGCACCACTGGCTGCTGCTGCAGTACGTGGCAGTTTTCCCCCCGGCTGTGTTCCTAAAGGGGGAACGCATAGAAATTGACTCCAAGGCCAAGGCTCGGTCTGTATCTGACCGTCTCTTTATGGCGCTGGCACAGGACGCAGCAGAGCTGGCAGCAGAAGGACACTTCAGAGAATCTCCTGATCTGAGGCAAAGAGCGGACCCTGCTGCGGACGGGCTGCAGCAAGGAAGACCACCGCAGCAGCAAACCGAACACGAAAGAACTGTCAACTGGCTGGGCAGTCCAGCGCTGCGCAAGGTCGTCACAGTTGACCCCAGCGACGACTCAAGCGTGACTGCGACAGCACCGCCAGCAGCAACAGCAGCAGCAGTAAAGGCGAGAGGTGCATCAGGAACAACGGTAGCAGCATCAGCAGCAGCAAGGCTGTACCCCACAGACGCGTCTACGCTGCCTGCTAACAACAGCACCGCCGCCACAGACCCAATGGCTGCTGAAGAAGGGGCTTGCGGGGCCTCTTCTGGATTGGCCACTGAACTTTTGCCTGTATCTCTGGCTAATGATGCTGCTTCTGGTGCTCTGGATGGGGAAGCTCTGCAACAACGAAGTGAGTTATCTTCTTCAGACTGCAATTCAGTTGCGTCGTCAGTCAAATCCAACAGGGACCGACACATAAAGGTTAGGAGTAGGCGCATCTCAGAGATCCTGGGCACAGCAGCAGCAGCAGGAGTTAGTTCCGGCCGCAGCGCAGAAATGGGAAAGAAAGGCTCAGCAAATTGGCTTCCTCCTAAGGCGCAAGAACGAAGGGCTGCTGACAAAGATGCCCCTGCCTCTATCTCGGCGGGCAATAAGAAAAAAGAAGCAGAAGAGCAGAAGAAAGAAGCAGCAGAACAAGACACAGACAAGCCGAAGGGTTTCAAAACGTTAGGCGGTCAGCCAGACAAGTTCAACTTTGTAGCCTAGAGGCACAGTTTGCGAGATTGACGGCTAATACTCAATTCTTTCTGCAATTGTGGCTTGTATTCGCAAAGAATATACTGCGCAGACGCGGCGTGTACAAATTCTGGGAAAATAGACACATTAAGTGCTGCAGGCAAATATGCATGTCTAAGTCTATTTTTTGCATGCACCCTTACTGGGTTCTTATGCTCAGAGGCATTCGAGGCATCTGTGGGCAATATGGAAGGGGCTCACGGCCGCTCTGCACGAAGTGCTGCGACGCAACACATCTCGACTCTGACTCCGTTCAACATTGCCATTCGGGCCCCCTCACTGGACGCAGAACATGGCGAGCCTCCGGTGAGCATTGGAGTTTGTGTTTAGTTGCCGTTGAAGGTGCCGCTGAAGACAGATGGAGGGGTCAAACTAAGGTCGTACAGGCTTTAACTCAAAGCTTTTCCCTTTGCTGCTGATCTTGTTGACTTTCTTGTGAACTGTCTTGCAGCCGCTGCTGCTGTGTAGACCTTTTTGTTGGAGGCCAAGAGACGAGGTGGCAGATCGACGATCACCACCACAATGGAATATTGTGTGCTTTTGTATGCTTTGCTGATTGCAATTTATTTAGGCTCCCAGGTTTGCATCCGATCAGCAACAAGGCCAATGGCGCCCTTCTGCATCTTCTCGCGCAAGTTTTCGAGGAAAAGCGTTGAGTCAGAGTCTGGAAGATCTTAGTTCTACCCCTGCAGCTGCCTTCACTGCAAGCTGCTCTACAGATCGACAGGACAGGTCCGACGGAGATACTGAAGTAATGGGGCCGCCCCGTCTTACCTGCAGCGGAGACACTGGGAAGCGGCAGTCCTCTTGCTCCACGCATAATTTGCCTTATGGGGACTGGAAACAGACAAAGACAGAAATGAACAGTTCTTTTTACCCCACAGCCCCTCCGCTATGCCAAAAGCGGAGTCTATACAGCGGGCCACCGTCCGGGTCTATCTCAGAAGAGGACCAAGATATAGAGACAGGACTTCAAGAACGCATGCAGCGGGATCCAGCGCTGCTAGGGGCAGCAAATTTGAGCTCACGTTTGTATTCTGAAGACATCGACAACATATTGTACCCTAAGAGCTCCTCCATCGCCTCAGACTTCCACGTAAGACGAGGCTCGTTGGCCAGCGGAGATGGGGGCGGCACACGCCGTCTTCTTGACCCCAGGCATGTAACTGATGATGACTACTTTGCCAGCCAGAAGGTTCTGTACGGGTATTCGGGAGTCTCGCCGGAGTACTTCACAAGAGATTTCGTCGAAATGTTCCTAAAAGGTGACGAAGTCGATGAATTCATGAAACTCGTCGACTTGGCGGGTAAATTCCACATTTAAACCATATCACAGGCCAGCCATATTCCTTCCAGATCGAACGCACAGCTTGAGCACTACTCCTGCACAGCCTTACGTACTTAACGCTGAGGTAATCGATTTGTGTGACACGATTTACCACAGAACATGCGAATAAGCACAAACGCGCAGAGAACCAAAGCAGCGTATCAGGCTTTAAGAACTGCTAGCAAAGCACACATATTAGCTTTTGAACCTAGAGCCACGTGGGATTAACCGAACTGTTGCAGGCCACGGCAAGATCAATCAGCCAATGTTCAAGAGGGCCGTTGTCTCCATTTACAAAATGCGAAAGGCACTTCTTAAATCCCTAACAGTGAGCTCCTTTCAAGCGTGAACCTTTCCCGTCCCGCCCCCGGTTATTTGGATTTAACTGAGCGCAGCGGCCCTCCCTTGCTAAATTGATTCTACAGGCCCGCATTGTTGTTCCTGTGAAGATTTTGCAGCAATGGGAGGCTAAGTATGAGGTCCATTTGCACTGCTCTGTCTACGGCCTTTGCAGAGTCAGGCCAGCATTTGCAAAACTGTTCGGCGAATGATATCTGTGGTGTTGTGGGTGGCGACGCTGGTGGCGATGCTGCTTGTGTTTGGAGTAAATCTCAATACGGTCCTGGTCTCTGGCGCAGCATCTATATCTGCGCTAGTGGTCGCGCTAAGTAAGTGCCTAAACTCGGACAGGAATTCTCAGCTTTCACGTTGTGAAGTGCCTTCTTCAGGAAATGCGCGGTGAAATGACTAGACAGAAGCTTTGACGTTAAAGTGGAAGTGCGTGGCGACTTATGCTTTGTCATGGGACTCTAGGGCTCTAAATATGGGCCTCGAAATTTAGTTTCTGGTTTTCAAGTTAAAAGGACAACTGCGTTTCGAAATGGATTCATGCGAAAACCTGCGTAGTTCATTTCTGGCATCAGGAACCTGCCAGATCCCCAATTCCCATGGTGGCGACTTCCGGTGACTCTCTATTTTGTCTTAAAATATGTCGCTTCACATCTCGTTTGTGTCCAACATTCTTGTGTCCTTTTATTGACAAAAGTGGTCATTTTTCGGCAAGCTTTAGATGTTCGTCTGCGCGTGTTTGTTTTTTTAGGCTACATTTACCAAAACTTCATCACTGCTGTCATATTCGTGGCATTTACTAATCCTTACAACGTGGGCGACAGAGTGCGCATTGACAATGGCGAGGCGATGTACGTGCGCAACATCCATACGTACACGACGGAATTCGTAACAATTCATTCCAAGCCGGTGAGCATCTACCCGCAGTCTTTGCCCTGTGCACGTTGCTTTCATTGCGCTGCAAACAGTGCATTGCTAATGGGCTTTGCATAAGATTGGATTTTGTGGCTGAGAAAGCTGTGCTTTCGTACACTGCTCCTTATTTATGAATCCACTGAATATGAAAGAAAGGGGCACCGGGAACTGTTCTACGCTTTTGTTCAGATTGTGTACAGCAACAGCGTTTTGTTTGGGCGTCAGTTGACTAACGAATCCCGCGCCACAAACGCCACATTCTCCATGCCAATGCGACTGGACATTCGCACACAGCTGCAGGCACTCCGTTTCTTAGAGGCGGGAATGCGCAGGGCCATTGCTGCGAGGCCTATGGATTTTGTGAAGGACTCATTTAGCATCTACATCACTGATGTGCAGCCAGGACGGTGGATGGATGTACGCAGCTGACCATTTCGTTGGCGGCTTGAATAAGTAGCCGTGAAATAAGATACTTGAAGGCATTGCCATTTTGATTTCGGGATTTGAAAGCGATGAATTGAGTAATAATTGTCCCAGCTTATGCGTCTGCCAATTTCTCAATGTTTTGGGTTGCCTGGTCGTCTATTATTTTCTCCCATGTGTTTCGTGCCTCTCGTGAGTAATCCAATTTGTACTTAGCATGCACCTAAAACACATATCAGAAATACGTAGAACGCTTGAAGTGGCTTGAAGTGCACCCTGCTTGCATCCAGAACAAATTTCAAGATGCTACAGAGATGAGATAGCATGAAAGAAGCGTGAACGTGAATATGAAAGGTATGAGGTAGCAAGTCGTCGACCATGCTTGGATAACGAGTAATTGAGGGTCTTATTGCTGATTTGTCCGGTTCCTCCTTCGCTTATTTGTTTCTGTATTTTTCAGATAACAGTGTGGCTGAGCGCGGTTGAAGGCTGGGGCAACACATCCAAGGTCTTGCGGCTGCGGACGGACATGTTCCTCGTACTGCAGCGTCTGTGCACCCGCTTTGGTATTTCATACCAGGAGCCACTGCTACCAGTGCATCTTAATGCAACACAGTTCTCGGCGTCGACCCCGCCACAGGCAGCAGGGACTGCAGCCCCTCGTGAGGAACGAGCGATGCTGTGCCAGTTCACTCAGAACTAGCAGTGCACACCCCAAAGTTACTCCTTACTATATTAAGTAATGAGGACAATAGCTGGTGACGGCAGTGGTCCAAACTGCATCTGCTGTAGTGCACCACGCATGAGTCGCAGCCTAGCTGCAACAGGGGAAGCATTGTCTGCGTGTGTGCTACTCGCATGTATACAGAGTTTCGAGCAACACCGTCTCATGGCGCTGCTGCTGTTGATCCTAGTTGTTCGCGTTATTTGGGGAAACAGCGAGACGAGTGTCGGTACAAGGACAGCCCGCCGACCCATATGGGCGTGCTTTTGGAAGACGCCCTCTGCGACTCTTCGCTGTTAGCATCACTCGACTCCCCAAGTGCTCCACCTGTTGCACCGAGGGAGCCGCCCCGAAGAGCTCCAAGGAGGAATTCTCCAGCGTGGCAGGAGCAGAAGCAGCCTCACATTGCAACCGGGCTTATCGAAGCACGTGCGCCAGTCTACTGCGGCGAACCGGATGGGTGGAATTTTGAGGGTCCCAGAGCAGCGTTGAAGTACCGGAGGTGCCACAGACAATCCAGATAATACAAAAGCTTATCTGCTCTCTGCAACTACAGTCCAGGGAATGGCGCAACTTGTGCCAGTAGGCAGGAACTCTCTGCAACAGCCAATTGCTTCGCTCAAGCGGCGCCAGGAGCTCGACCAGAGCATACAGTAAACAACTTTCGCTGCAGTTCTACCTTTACTCCTGCTGTGGGCTATGAGGAGGCTGAAATCAGTCAGACCCACACATAATATGGCAATATACCCATTTATACCAAGCGGAGGGGAAGATAAAGTGAGATGCCGAGAAGGCGGCACCTGTTATTGGGCAGACTGTAAAAACTGTTTAAAAGGGAGTATTAAATTCTGTGTGGATAATTCAAGTTTTCTTTATATATTTTTCCCCAGTAGCTTAGTTCTACTTCGCTCTTCCCCAGCTCTAGAATTTGTGTAAAAGTTACGACTGCTACTTTCAGTCTTCAAAAGAATTGCTTTGATCACTTGGTGCATTATTTGCCTCTCAATTTGTGTTTATTTGGCTTTCCAAGGGGCGTCTTCAAAGCAGAATGTAGGAGTTTGAATTTTTTCTAGAAATTTCTGTATTTCGCACTACTGGTTCCTCCGAACTCAAATAGTGGCTCAAACAAAGCCGGCCTACAAGCTCCATTGACGCTAGCCCAAAGCGTGTGGCGAAATAAATATATTGATCCAGGAAGACCGCAGCTTGCAAGAACGCTCCGCTAAATTGTGGATGATTAGTTTTTCGCGGCCTTTTTCCAAGGATGCTGCAGTACCTAGAGAGTAAACACGCTTGTATTAAACAGTGTCGGGCCATTGGAGGATGCTTCTTTGCACTTCCAAACCATTTCGCGTTCGTAGAACTGGTTGCGTGCAAAAATTACAGTAGACCTCAGCACAGATCTCCATTACCTTGCAATTTTTACTAGTTGCCTCCGGCAGTTCACTTCACTCGCATCGGCCCCTTTAACTGGTGGATCGAATTCTGCTTGTAAATACACGACCCCAGGAAGCTCCTTCAAACTGGGCGTACCAGTTTACCAGGTTGAAGAAGAGTTGTAGTTCAAATGTTGTCTGGAAAAGACAAGAGACTGTGTGAGCCGTTGTGAAATGCGTTTGATTTTGTCTGTCTTTTTATGCAGGCAAAGGGCTCGTGGCATGCAATCATGCTATTTATCAGTAGCAGCCGACTTCATCTCCGGAGGGAGAATACATGTAACCTCCTGTGATTCCTGCTGAAGCGCGAAATTCCACTTCGAAGCACTTTTTGCATTGGCTCTGATCGTTTTGGTGCAATAATACTTGCTAGTCATGGCAGTCTTGAAAAGCTGCCGCAGCCATTGGACTTTCACCTGGGGAATGTCGGCTACGCCCTTTCGGCATCGCTGGCCGGCATGCGACTCTCACTAGCAAAACAGATCTTAAGAACTTGGGTTACCAATAGCAAACTCGTTGCTAGCAGCATATGTTTCAGAGCTAGATATTCTCAAACTGTCAGGCAGGATAGCTTGCGTTCTACACAAACACGTTCACAAAAAAGAAGGTACCCATCCGATCCCTGGAATTTTTTCAAGATAAGGCATATTGAGCTCAAATTCCAAGACAAATTCAATGTTCTGTTTGCATTTGCAAGTTGCTCGAAGATGCGTCCTGTATCTTTTGCAAGAACATGGCAGCGTCCTGGAGAACGAGCCGCAAAGAGATCGTCCCATACGAAGTACATTTCAGTCAAAAGGTTAAGTTTGTCTTGTGCACTGTAATTCTGGTGGGGTTGTGGGAAATGGCATTTCACATGAGTTCTTAACCGATACAGTTGCTCTCGCTGTGATTGCCGCGTCAGCTGCCCCTATTTCGTCATGATCACTCTGAAAAGCTGCGCGCATCTAGGGTTCTACAGTGCGTAGTATTTGTATAGGCAAATGTGTACTTAAGTTTCAAAGGAGTTAGCTTTGTTAAGGACAAATTTGCATGAACAAGCGCACAGCCCACTAGGACTGTCAGCCCTAAAGAGGCAAGCGGGGCTGCCTCAACAGAATTTAAAGGATGAATGCATAAATTCAAGAAATTATTTGTGCATTTTTAGTCGTATCTGGGGTGATCGGAGAATTTTATTCTAGAATGGAAGCCTACTTTTCTCCGCTCATGTTCTACACGGTTCTAGCGGCCGCCTCTCAAGCGGTAGGACACGGGTTGCATCGAAACCTTTTGGAGCTTCACAATCAAAATGAAGGCTCCTCACAGCTACAGATTGACTTTAAAAAATCGCCTCAACTGAATATTGTCGCAAAACCCGTCCTGTTTTTCGCTCTGCTAGCTGCTACACTGGGCTTGGTGTTTGCCGTCCTCAATTGCTTTGAAGCCTTAACTTCTGGCAGCGAGGAAAGCACTACCGGCATGAATGCGAGACGACTTGCTGTAGGATACGAAGATCCTTGCGGCGTAAGTTTACTATCAGTCTTCCTGGTTCTGAGTTCTGTGTAACGGTGCCTTTGATGTTGTCCTGCATTCATTATCACTTGTCCCAGTAGTGATTCACTTTCATTCTAACACCTTGGCTCCAATAATTAGGTGGAACGGAACAGCAGCAGCTGAAAATGGGCTATACTTCTGAGGAAAGGCCAAGGTGAGTGCGCCGGTGTTTAAGCAGGACTCAACACTGTATAGATGTAGTCCCGCTAGCTGTGCGTTGTTGGGCCGATAAAAATATACTAAGTATGTGTTCGAAACTTGTTCTGCACCTGTACACTAAATAGGACATCATTCGAGAAGTACTTAGACTTGGTAGTTGCTTAGCGTATATGTAAGAAATTCCGTCGCGATTTCGCATCTCGTTTCCCCACAGCAAGTGTGTTACTGCAGTGCTCCTCAATTCACAGAGAATGAGTGACAGACCTTGACTATTTGGAAAGCCTGCGAGCTACGCAGCGCGTGCAGGATTTCGTTATTACCATGAAGCATTGCAGCGACAAACTGGACATAAACTTCAAACCACTTTAGTGCGCTTTTGCTCAGGTAGTGGAACGGTTATAGTGTTGTGCCATAATTGGACACACGTCTCGATTACTTTTGCAATTTTTTGTTACCTACAAAGCCCTGCTCATCTGCGATGCTTCTGGAGATATGCTAAGATGAAAGGAACCCCCGTGAATCCCCGTGAAAATCGAAGCGACAAAATGTGAAACGTTTCTGCAAAGCTGCCTCTTTCGGTCAATTGAATGAGATTATTACCCGTTCCCCAGGGTCTGCAAATCCGTTAGCGCTGCCGTTGGCTTATTTCTGAATTCGTTAAATTGGCACGTCTCTATTGAAGTGACTGTCTATTTACGTGCACATAAACAGCTTGTTTGTGCCCGTCATCATTGCAACTGGGGCAAGTCATTGATTTTTGTGTAGACGTTGATACGTAGGAAAACAAGGATTGTTAACAGCCTGGTACTGCAACACATTCCTACTGTGGGGTTGAAAGAGGTCTGTCCACGGCAAACAATGAAGGAGCTAGAAATACTGCAAATGGCTTCCTATAGGTGGTCATGCATGCAAACATATGCTCAGAATACATATTTAAATACGGGAATGCGCGAAACTGTGTCAGCTGGCTAAGCGTTTACCACTGAGAATGGAAATTTGGAAAACTTGCATTAAGAGTTGGTGTCCGGTAATCCATTGCTGCCTGGTACGGGGAAAATCTAGCTGAAGAAGTGGCGGCTGGATATGTGAACATATGCTTCAATTGTTTTCCAGTATTGGTGTTCTGTGAAGGGGGCAAATAAGCGAGGCTACGATTAGCGCAAAGCTGAACATCGTGAGTGGTTGTAGGCTGTGTCCTTGCTTCCCGATGTTTGAGGATTTGTCCTGATTTCACTTAAAATTAAGCTTATCAAGACTCATGGCTAGCAAGCAGATAGGGGCCAAGCGACACACGAAGCTCTTTGAAGCCAGCATTGGGTAATTGCCGCTTAAATTTGGACAATGAGGTACTCTAGGGGCTGCGCGACAAGATGTAGAAGGCTGCTCTGTGGCGAGAGCAGGCTGCTAGCTGAAGCAAGCAAGAATGTCAGGGCGTTGCATGTGAAGTTTGGTGGGCGGTGTGCCGACGGAAGAAGAGGTACGTTAACAGTATCTCAGAGTTACGAATCACATATGTGCGTGCTACGATTTTCTGTGCGTATAAATCGCAGCACCACCTGGGAATGCCCACACGCAAGGTATGGAGGAGCCGTTAAGTGTTTTTTGAAGACACACTAGAGGACAGCCCAAGGAGTGCTTTTGGGTGCCTTGAAAAAAACCCGACTGTTAAACAAAAGAGTCAGATAGCGGCTGTGAGCGCACAGCTCCTCTGGCGCATTGCCAAGCACTGGGGCGTAATTTGGCGTTTGAGGGCAGTTGGCAGTGTTCGTTCTGTCGGCGTGTGGAGTGGCGAGGGTAGGGTTTCTTTGGTGAGCGGGCCTGTGGTGGGTTGTTGAGGAGCGTCTGGTGAGGGCGTCAAGGCGTTGGAGTGCGACGTGCCGGAATTGTGTGTGTCAACATTATTTTGGGCGTGCAGGAAGAGCAGGAAGTGGGTGCCGACCCAGTGGCTTGTTGGGTGTTGTTGTCTTGGTGCGTCAGTCTGGGATTTTTGAAGTGAAATGCGGTCGTTGCACTGCAGAGTGGTGTGTGAGAGAAACGTACAC